CCGGGCTAACTGTAAAATCCATAAGTGTCAACTAAGGGTGGCTTGCTCATAAGTGCCACATGTTAGGTGAAGTAAACCTAAAGCCGACCTGGAAAAGTATAAAACTGTCCGGCTTCAATGCTTCTACGTCAAATTAACGCTATCTGTATGTTCGTATACATCGAGGATTTAACCCATATGGCTAGAAATACTAATATTGAACGAACCGGGAATCAGATAGAGTATATGGATTATCTCATAAATGAATACATAATTTTTTCATTATTTACTTTAATGATCGCCCTAGAAAGCCATTTCCCAATGAATCTAAAGGTCTAGTGTAACTCGAAGACCACATCCTATTTACAGCAATTCTTAGAGATCGAGCCTACAGAATATTATCCTGTGAGAGAGTCGAATGAAAGAAGGGGCTAATGAGATAAATTTCCTCATCAGAACTGGCTCAAACTAGTATTCAAATTTAGAGATGTCAATGAACTAAAGTGGGAATATGAGACTGTCAAGTTGAGCATCTCGCTACTTACAATGAGGGGAGTCTAATTGGTTACATTACTTTGATATAATTTTCCCTGGCCAGTTGATCGGTTTATCTACCACTAAGTCAGGTTTCATCTGTAACTAATGGCAAACGTGACAAGCTATGTCTATTGCGTAAAATAATTAATGCATGCTACTTTTTGTTTTGTTTGCCTGCATTTAATAGAAGCTGATTACAGCAACTGCGGCTGGAGTGATCATTCAACCACAAAAATTTAAAGCTTATTAGCCTGTCACTACGATATTCCCTCCTTTACAACTAAAGGCTATCTGGATACATTTTATCAAATTGGCAATGATTTGAATCACAAACTATCCAGTGCCTAGCCACATTGAGTTGTTGCTTTGGTATTATTTTTTGTGAAGCTTTTTATCATGCTCTAACTCCTATTCACCCCATCAAGGTGACTAGTATACTCAAATCATCAAGAGTGGCGTTATTCCTTTATGACATTATAATTATGTCCATTTTGTTCTGAGCACTAAGAACACCACGGGGTCTAGGCATTTCTCTAGGTCTTTAATTATATTCTTTTACATACACAGCTCATATGAATCTCAGACATTGACCATACTGGATTGCATTAAAGTCTAAAGTCTGAGAACATTAGCGATATCTCTAGAGACCCTAGGGTAGGAGGTTAGCCATTTGGCCTGTATAATTTTTTATCCATTTCTGACCATCCATTTTGGAACTTATTTACCTATACCACTTTATTCATGCATCATATATTATCTTTAAAGTAACAAGATTTACAGCTGATACTCTTACATCTGGATCTTGGATCCAGTATTTTGAGGATCTTTTTGTACTACCAACAGTAGATTTGTTTTTACATAGAAAGGTTAGTAGACATGAGAAGAATCTAAAGGTTAGAAAAATGGACATAATAACAAATACAGGTAATAGCAAAAAGTACAAAATGTTCTTTATTAGCAAAGTCAACCATGTTCCTTGCTCAAATGTCCAATACCAATCCCCAAAGAAGCCAGTATCCTGTTTGATATCCTGTACTAAGTCATGTAAATCTTTAATATGTTTATGGATCATAGTGCCATGGTCAGATAGGTTAAAACAGCAAATACCTTCAATAGCTTCACAGTCTAAGTCATGTTTCATTAGTAAGTAGTCAATGGCTGCTCTATTCTCAAGGATTGCCTTCTTATTTGACTGGGTGTCCATAGGTAGCTCTTCTAGGGCCTGGAAAGTGGCATTTAAACCCTTTGCAAGGGAACAGGCTACAGCATTAATTACTCAGGTATTATACAGTGCTGAGCCTGGGATTCCTACCATAGAGTACGCAAGGGCAGAGTATTCGGATTTAGATAAGAGAGTGATTTCAGGGTTACAATCTGAAGTAAGGGTGTTTTATAGAGTTTGGTAACACCACATCCTGTCTCTCTGTGGGTTGTGTAGCTGGGTGGTTTCAGGAATCAGGTCAGATTTGGAAAACATGGTCATGGTTAGGCGTGAGATTGCACAGGGACCTCCTGTAATGTTACCTGGGACATAAGCATAAGTAATATTTCCACAGGAGAAAGTCCAACCTTTAGTGAGATAGACATGGTGGTGGTAACTCGTAACTTTTTTTTTTTTGAGTTTTGGAACATTTCATAGTGGTACTCAGGACTCTACAATATGTGGTATTTTTCCACCATATGGCACAAAACAGGGATTTAGTATTAGGGTCTTTTGAACAATTACATGAAACCAACATAGTTCAACGGCTATCACGTTAATTGTCTTCAGGGCTGGAGCTTGCCTACTAGTGTGTTGAAAGCATAAGAATGTAGTTGTAGGGATTAATGGGGTCTATAGGTATGTAGGTACTTCCTCAAGAGTGAGATGGGGGTAGGGGCAGCTATAATACAAGATTGTATGGCGTTTTCAGTACTGAGGAGACAGTTGAGGCATTATTATCTTCTGGTCTCAAGTCAGAGTAGCATATCTGAACAGAGCATACAATGGTAAAGGATAAGAACAGCTTCATGTCGGTGGATCAGTCGGAGTGACTTGTTTACAGTGACTGGCGTGTATCCACGTGGCTTTTCCTTCTAGTTTCACTGAGGTAGCCGTAGTCAAGAGCACTTGGAATGGACCGTCAAAGCGTGGTTCAAGTCCTTTCCTCACATGCCTCTTTATCACCACCCAATCGCCAGGTTGCAGTTTGTGGGTTGCAGAATCAGAGTCTGGATCTGGAATAGAATCAAAGACTTGTTTATTCACCCTGCCTAATCTTTGGTGTAGGGCCTGAACATAGGCAGTCAAACTACCATGCTGCATGTGGAGGGTTTGGGGAGAACAGAGGCCTGTCTTTGAGGCACATCCAAACAGGATCTCAAAAGTGGATAGGCCATGTCTGGAATTGGGGGTGAATCTCATAGAAAAGAGTGCTGGGGGAAGGCATTCAGTCCAGGGCTTTCCTGTGTCTTGCATTGCTTTTGCAATCTTGTTCTTTAAGGTGCCATTTGCCCTTTCTACTTTCCCACTACTCTGGGGGTGATAGGTGGTGTGGAAGGCCTGACTGATCCCTAAGGCTTTCATAATTTCTTGCATTATTTCCCCAGTGAAATGGCTACCTCTGTCACTTTCAATCACTTCAGGTACTCCATATCTACATACCAGTTCCTTCAGAAAAGAGGTCAATGCACACCAACACATATTCATACACTCCTATCTGCAGTCTTTGAAGCGGGTAAAGTGGCCTTGGTGTTTGCTTACTTGGTGTTTTGACAGCCTGTCCTGGATTGTTTCTAGCACAAATCATGCAAGCTTGGGTGTGTTTAGCTGCTACAACAGTAAATCCGGGTGCTACCCAATGGGTGTTACTATGCTGTTCATGTGCATCTTGGATAGATGTGTAGGTCCATGGGCAATCTGGGCCATCATGGGATACAACACTCGTGGCAAACAGTCTTTTACCTTTCCTCCACATTCTGTCATCATCAGGTTCTGCATCTTGTTTCCTCCAGAGGTCATGTTCTTCCTTGCTTGCCTGTCTTTGTAAGCTCAACAGTATATTGTAGTCAACGGCGTCATCTGTAAGAACAACTTGTAGGAAGGTATTACCTGTAGAGGGATGAACTTGGATTGCTACTTGCTTGGCAGCTTCATCTGCTTTGTGATTTCCTCTTGAGATTTCATCTGTGATCTTCACGTGAGCTGCCACCTTGATGATGCCTACTTGAGTGGGTAGCAGGATAGCGTCCATAAGTGCACTCACGGCTTCAGAGATCTTGTTTGGAGTTCCTGCTGAGGTGAGAAAATCACAAGCCCGCCATATAGGGCCAAAATCATGGGCTATACCGAAGGCATAGCGAGAGTCTATGTAAATATTAGCTGTCTTACCAGAGGTCAGTTTGCACACTTCAGTGAGTGCCTTCAGCTCAGCCTCCTGTGCAGAGCAGTGAGGTGCGAGTGGTTCAGCTTTTATTACCTCGTGTGTAGAGACTACAGCAAATCCAGTGTGGAAATTGCCCTTCTCATCAGCATATCTGAAGCCATCTACAAAAAACTCAAAGTCTGGATTAGACAGTGGAGACTCAGTTACATGCAAAAAACCTGCTGTCTCTTGTGCCA